AGTAAAAAAAAATTAATTGCATATCAAGGACGTTCGATCCATTAGTCACCAAAACATACAATAGTTTTCTTGATTATACAATTTATGCGATAAATGATAGAAAACACTTGACTCTAAATATTCTGCAACAAAAATAAATAGTGATCAACCTTTTGTTCGCCTGTTATCAGGTTATGTGCATTGCACATCTACAGTGCCTGGACATAAATGAATGGACATTTGCAGAAGGGTTTGTATTATCTGATTACTAATTAATTTATAACAAACAAACCCGTGTGTCCTTTGTTAGATGCAAACAATGCGTATTGAGTGATGTAATTAATACAAGAAGAAGACGCGTCTAATATATAATACTATTTTTACGTTTGGACCAATTTTTAATAAAAATTTATAGTTACGTATTTTAAGACTTTTCAAACGTCGTTACTTAATCACATAAGATACGTTAAAACAAAACTTTTCAAAGTTGTCCTATGATCGAAGTTCGACAACCAAAGTTCGAAAATTGTTAGTACAACTTTACGTAATTATATTTCGCTCAATATTTTATGAATACATGCGCGTTAATATTTCATTTACCCATTGTAATTTACTTAGTAAAATAAAAGTTTAGTATGTGATAAAAATTATTAGTTTTTTCGATTCCAGAAACTATTGATCCATTTACGTGCTTTTGTTAGTGTGTTCAAGTAAATATTTAAGAATCAATGTCTATTTTCCAGAAGGCTTTTTTATTTTTAGGTTTGACTTGATTTATTTTTTACACAGAACTGCCGTTGTGCAAAAATTCTTCTTGCATCATATCAGATATGCAACATTTGAAGAGTACGACATCAATACTATGAGAGTTATTGGTTCTTAAATAACCAAGTGATGTAAAGAACTGCCGTTGTGCAAAAATTATTCTTGTATTATATCAGATATGCAACATTGAAGAGTACGGATATCAATACTATGAAAGTTATTGGTTCTTAAATAACCAAGTAATGTAACTGCGTTCTTCTCGCATGATATATTAAACATCTAATACGTCGAATATAGCAATAGTGGGTCAGAAAGATGGTTGCAAAGAATGGGGGTCCATCGTAATCCTGCTTTTGGCGGGGTTTGATCACGAACTAAAAGTCTGTAATTTTGTATATGATAGTGTAGGTATAGACTACGGTCTTCTCATATTTATTTGATATAAACTTGCATTACTATCATATTTTTTTAAGTTGTATTCAGAATACGAATGCTGTAAAATGACGTAACTTTTTTCAAAAAAAGGAAAATTTTACGCTTATGGCAAAAGGATGCAAGCTGTTTACAATGAAGCATGGTTTGCTAAAGAGCCACATTGTGCATTTGTAAAACAATATTGAATATAAACGTTGTGATGCTAAAGCGCGGTTCTGTATTGAAGACACCAAATTTGTTGAAGCTTACATTTATTTAATAAAATGCACGAGTTTAAGCCACTTCCCAGCAAAGTATTCATAATAAACTGATCACAGAAATTAATATAGTCGTGTTAAAAAGGTGTTATAATAGCAAATTTGTCGATCGTAATTTTACTATGGTAACGGAGTAGGATAAATATGGAAAGTTTCGATTCAGCATGAAAGCCAATAATAGTACTTCGAGGATATGCTTTACCAAACTGTCGGTAAGAACTTTCCATGTGGGTTATCCTCATATGGTTTATCAAAAATTAAAATATACTCGTTAACTATATTCTTACTGGAATTAGAAACTTTTTTTACGCGAATAAAATTGCAAAAACACGAGTTAATATAGAGGACACAGGACAGTCTTGCGTGAAATAAAACTGACAATTATTGGCCTATTACTATTAGGATTTAGTAATGCAATATCGAATACTAATACTAAATTTGGCATAAAGGTCGTGACGGCCATTACCCATGACAAGCACAACATTCAACGTTTCCATGATATTAAAAATCCGGTCTATTAAATGGCCGAACAGATTTCGATACAAACGAAGGAAGAGGTCGATCGGGCCTTATACCATATTAAATTTAAAATTGTATTTATTGGAAGTCAAGTGTTTTTATCATATGTTCTAGGTTACTAACTTTTGCAAAGTTTGAACATTGATGCTACTATATTTAGACACTTTTGTAATCAATGCATGTGAGAGTTTTCATAGAATTAATCAAAAAAGTTGTTGCTCAGGCAATCATTCACTGCTTAAAACGTTATCTGAGATTTTAAAATATTAGCCGTGTTCTTAACTAAATGCACGTTAAATTTACGCTAAATTTTCAAAATAATCCCCAGAAGATGAGATTCAAAGAGGGAAATGAATTTTAGTCTTATTAATAGATTCTTTTACTTTCATTACTATACGTGTCACGAGATATTCGTTAATTGTCTCACATAAGTATTCAATGCGAATTCCACTGATTGCATAAATTAAAAATACATCAAAATTTTTTATTTGGTTTTATTATTTCGAACGTTTAATTGCATTTACAATAGACATAATGGACATTCAATAAACATTGTAGACTTTCTCTGACCAAGACGAAAATATTAAGACAAATATCAACCAGGATATCGTCACAGAGTTCATGTTATCCTAATTAACACTACTCGTATAGATCCTACAACTCGTAAGTTTCTGAATGTACATTCACTAATCCATATCGATCGCTCCTAGCCATTGCAGAGTTCTTCACTTCTTTTATCATAACGGCCGGTCCGCACACACCGACTGCTATATCACCTGATCCATGGAAATCCTTCACACTCTTTAGTAAGAAATCAAAGCTAGGTCTTCCTTGGAAGAATATTGATGATGGAGTGGTCTGTGATCTAGTCAAGAATACTTTTACGTCTATTATGTACTTGTTGTCTGGCAAAGCAGATGCTCTATGAAGAAGCTCCTGGAGCTCAGATGCGAACCATGCATAAGAATCGATATCCGGTACAACCCATATAAAGTATATTGCTTGCGTCGCCAATGGTAGTCCAGACAACTGCTTGTCCACCAAGTCACGTAATATACTTATCATAGGTGTAACACCAATACCACCAGCCACCAACATGACTGTCCTCTGTTCAGAGAACTCCAAAGATGGTTTCCCATATGGCCCATCAAATTTCATCTTTAGTACACCAGGCGACATTCCCGACTGATTCCGTGCTTTCTCGTAGAGCTTTTTCGTGAATCCACCGGCAGCCTTTAGATGAACGGTATGTAAAGGAATGCCATCATCTTCTATTGATGGAGCAGATGACAGCGATACAGGATGCCATGTTACCAAGCTCAAGGGGGCATTCAGATTGGGAAAGTTGACGAATGCATATTGTCCTGCTTCGTAATGCATATCTCTTTCGAATACCACACGAGTGACTCCTGTTTGTATTGGTTCTATGTTGACGATTTTGATGCTCTTGATATTGCTTTTCACAAATCGAATCAATCTATCGACAACGTATAGCGATATCCCAAATGCGACGTATGGTCCGAACCACTCGTTGTGCAAAACTCCGAATATAATAAAGAATATAAAGGTGAAATGTGACCACCAGAATGCCTCGAATGCGAACCGTCTGATTACCGCGTGGGACGTGATCACGATAATTATTATGGACAAGAATGCAAGACTACCAGTCAAATATTGATTGTCTCCGAATAGCGCTTGGTTAATCGATTTAGTGGCCGAGTATTGCTGTTGAATTTGAGTACCGCCATGTAATGCAATCATAAAGAATATCATGCGACCGGTCCATCTATGAAATTTGATTATGCGTTCGAACGGTACTCCAATAAGAGTCACAAAGACAGAGTTGCGAGTAGCCAGTGGAAATACGAATGCAGCGTTAGCCAGCGCAACGTGAGCAGCTCGGTTGACGAGATCAGTTGCGATGGATGCGCCATTCTCGAAAGGGAGTAGGAGGAATACGAGATTGAGAGTGATGAAGAGGAGAAGGAGAACGAGTTCGTTGAATTCCATGCTCTCGAAGCCAACGAAATGGAATGCGGAATTCCAGATTTTATGCATCCATACTGATACAGTGGAATACATTATGTGGGATTCGGGTACAACTGCCACGGACATTCTTCCTACTTCTCCGCTTGCTTCGTAAGCAGCCAATTTTCCGGCTTTTTCTCTTGACGTTGTTGGAAGATCGATGAGAACAGGCCATCTATTTCTACTAAAGTATCGCCATACTTGAATAGTCTGATATCGTATAGACAATACGACTATAAAAATCAATAATACTATGGCTAGATAGTATCCACCGGCAAAAGTAGGATCCAATTGCATTGTAGAGAGTCTAAAAGGATGAGTTTTGGATAAGTGAAGTTATGACAAAAGATAGCGTAACAAATGCTTTTGTTGTTTTTTGAGTAGGGTATATTAGAACGTGAGGATGCGAGTGATGAAAAGGATTTTATATGAATAAGACTATGTTATTTTTTGAGGAATATGGACGAGCCCAGCTCGTAATATTATTATGAGTTATTGAAATGAGCGAAAAATTTCGCGTGGCAGAGTGAACCGGAACGTAATTTAGTCTACACAGTAGCAAAGTGCGAAAATGATATAGTATTTGCTTATATGTAAGGATCAGGAACCAAATGTATGAGATATGGACTAAAAAGGAAACTGTATGATTTGCTGCCCCGTGAAGAACAAAACAATATGCCTATTATGTACGTAGGTGGCTAAAACTTGACAAAGCCCCTGTCACACAGTTCATCATGAATACGAGTCTTTGATTATTAATGTTTGTATTATCGTTACATTGTGAATATAGTTCATTATCTTTATTATCCCCTTTTGAAACGTTCCCAGTCAGCCAATCAACGCATCCAACCTGAAATATATTTCCAAGCCTAAATGACTTCATACATTAAAAAGATACCCATCCACACCACTAACTGTCATTAAAATAACTTCGACCTGACACATACGAATCGCTGGCGATTCCATAAACAAGACAATACCCTCGACTTTTACCATCATACTCGTTAACCATACAATATGTTCTTGAAAAGTACAACATCTCGTCTCCTCGCGTTGTGTGCTCTTTTTGCTGCGACGCTCACATCCCAAGCCTTTCCTAACGGTGCTGGTACTTGTGACGTGGGCGGAATATCCAGTGGACATGGACCGTCGAAATTTACAGGGACTGGGTAAGTTTACATTAGCTTAATAGAATGAGATATGATGGTATCGAGAATGATCATTGGTATTTGATCGTTGAATGATGGGAATGGGAATGGGAATGGACATAACACACGCCGTCGTTTTCGACGTTTGTTTGTGCAGACAGTAGTAGTAATTCGCTTGCCGTTGCGTCGTTTATTCTATCTTTGAATACCCAGTAACATACTAACCTTATCGCATTTTCAATCACCTGCATTCACCATTATTAATTCAATTCTTCCATATATATATTTCATATAGTGGATACGCAATAAATGTCAAACCAAAAGACATCACCAAGGGCAACTTTGACATCTCCCTTTCGGGTAGTAAATTTGAGGGTATTCTCATCTACGTTGTTGATGCAAACCAAAAGCGTTTTGGCACGTTCACTGCTCCCCAAGGTCTCCAGTTTAAAACCTGTTCCGGTGGTCCTCAGACCACTCTCACTCACCAAGACAGTAATCTAAAGGACCCCAGTAAACTAGTAATGTCATGGAGTTCAGGCGGTTCTGCACAGGGTAACGTCACTATTCAGGCGGTGGTAGTTACCACGGATCAGCCATCCTATTACACTCTTAAGCAGACGTTCGATCTGGCTAGTGGTCAAGGAGCTACTGGTGCTGTAGCTGATACTACTACTACTACTAATACTACGGGAGGAAATGCCATTTCTCAGTTCTTTGCAAATTACACTTTATTTGCTGTTATTATTGGTATTGCTACATTTTTATATGCATTTGGCGCTGGAATGGAGGCTCTTCTTAGGAGACAGCAGCGGAAGGCCAAGCAGTACGCTAAGGATGTTACAAATGGGTTTGCACGTTAGGTCGGAGAGCAAAATCAGAGCTTTGGCTGATTTTTTAAATGTAATGTGTGTGTATTTTATTTGTTATCATTTGAATATCATATTTCTCATCATCTGCTCGATGGATATTAACAATGCTGTAAACTATAGTAATATTATGTCGAGTAGGAAAAAAATTAAACAATAAAAAAGCTGAAAGAATTATAGGAATCAGCTGAATCCAGACATAAGGAGCTTTGAAATACAATTCCAAGTTAAATATGATAGATCAATTTTGGAGAGTGTATCCATATTTACAGGTCGTTGTTCTTGATCAATAAACTCGAGTTCCTTCATGTAAATAATTACGTTTCAGTCGCCTGTTACTGTGCTAACAACTGACAAGTAGGCAACATCTTTAGCATTTACTCCAGATGTGTCAGAATAGCAAAACGTCATCATTAATGTTTAGTATGAAGCAGTTGTACATGAATGCCAAGTCAAAAACGTGTTTACTTAACAATATTACTCAGATCTTATTATTATTTATGTTTCAAAGTTTGTACACTTGTGAATTTAATGAAGTGTAATTTTTCAAGTGTAGAAATACCAGTTGACCAAAAGTGTCAATCTGTTCAATTTGTGCCTGCAGCTAGTAAACTAAGATGTATTAAAACCAGCGAATCTCTGTTAGCAAGAGTGATATCAAAAAGCATCACAACGTTCTTAAATTAAGCTTATTAATGTATCACGTATTGGAAAACAAATAGTGCAAATCCATTAAATTATATGATACTAATGACATTCTATATGAAACTTCGGCACTTGTTAATTATCTCCATAATAGTAATACTTCTCTAACAAAATCAAATTTCTACTTTACTCTGATACATATACACGCAATCTTCACTAGACAACTTTGTTTATTCATGGTTCTCGTGACTCAAGGTTCTATCAGGCAATAAAAATATTAAATACTATAAGAGCGAGATTGGGTTGTAAAATTAATCATTATTCCTTGTTTCCTTTACTATTACACATGACTGCAGATGTGTGACACCGTGAATACTTCTAAGAACCTACCAGCTTTTTCCTTGGCAATCCGCAACTAAAAACAGCAAGTACCGAGTCATCCAATTGCTGAGGTGTTACGTCTAGAGAATGGGCTAGTGTAAGAGGCTTGACGTTCATATGACTAGACAGGAACTGTGGCGAATTAAAGATATCGCCAGTCAGAGTATTCAGGATCTCCAATCCCCAAAAAGGTTAAAAATTTTCTTTCTATTGTTGTTCGCTGGCCTTTTCAAGGGATTTGAAGTAAGTCTCTATCTTGGTCCTGATCGTGCTACATGTAGTATGTCAAAGATTGATGGGATATGACAACAATGGTAGGAAGGGTGCGAATTATTCATGTGCGATGTCAACAATAGGATCTCATAACCATTTTATTCATGAAGCATCAGCATATGTCAAATTGATGACGACTATGATAAGGTGATTGTCTAAACAAATCAGAGATCGTATTTGTTACGCCATAATAATAAGTAATTTGACATACAATCATATCATAACTGATAACAATAACACCCCACCACGCCGGGAACTACAGTGTATTTGCAGGGGCCATTGATTATCAAGCGCCACAGATACGTTCCAACCTGCATTTTATGCACGCATCATAAGAAGGGAACTTTCAATAGCCATAGATAGATCTATGTACTGGTGTTTATGTTGTGTTCCAAGATAAGAGAATTACTTAAATTTGAGGTGTTATCAGAATGCATTCTACGGCCTTACCTCTAAACGTGTGGCATACAGCATCGACATGTAGTATCCAAGAAATTTGCGGACTTTGTCGACCGACCGAGCAATTGAAGGCATGTGTTTTATCAAACTAATATACTGATTATCGGAATGATACTTTACGATTTGCTAATCAATAAATATTATTAAATAATACATTATTTAAAATAAAAAAAATCTATCAATTTTCGCCAATATAAATTAGGTTTACAGAATGCTTAATATTCACAAGCGAATTCTTTTTGCTTTCTTCTCGGTCTGTTGCTAAATGGCGTAACTTGTAATGACCGACTACACAACACAGAGTCGGGGAATGAAATTTAAATGGGCATTTGAAATTCATAAATTGCTTGGCAAACAAAAGGCCATTGCAGCATCTACAATAAGAAATTTTTGTCTTTCTTATGGTATTGAAGATGATATTAATAACAAAAAAGTGAAAAAACAAGTTATACCCCATTAATGGCTTGTTCCCGATTCAAAATCGGGCCCAGTTCGAAATAAGCACATTTTATTCGCTGTTATTACATAAACAATGTCGCTTATTGGTTGTGATATTGGACTATTGCGAATCGGGCTGGATTTCGCTACGGGCCGAACAACTTGATAATTATAGGGGGACCCTAATTATAGTCCTACTGTGGCGTTATGATGTACCACCATGACGTCCATCCCCTGAAATTTTTATAACTGGGTTTTGCCCTATTTATCGTTACACACGTATTACTATTACAGTTGATACTGTAATTATCGCAAAACAAAACAACTGATTGAATCTATCATCTCAGGAGGAGGAAGTAAAGATTCAACAAATTTTTCATTCTTTGGTAAATTTAAGGTAGACTTCGACAAAGTTCTTTATTAAATCAGAACTCTGCCGTGGATCAAATAGCGGCAATGGACCTTTTTCGCAAGGCTTGAATCGGTTTAAAGGGAATTCGATAAGTTTGTCATTGTGAGAACTTTTTTGTTAGTAGCTTACCCGGAAATGCTTTAAAACAAACGTTCTTTAAAGTTAAGTTAATAACACTATAATCTAAATAATTAAATTATACATCGAATCAGCCTTATGTCATTGACAGTATATTTTTTTCTCATAATCCAAACTATCCTTCCAAAGCCGGCAAAAACCTTCTGGATAATTATAATATGAAAACACTCATAACACCTTAACAAAACAAACAAACTGTGTTCTGCACAAGCCGCAGAAATCTCTGTCGTTCAAACAGTTACGATCCCTAAATGTTTCAATGGCGCTCAAACATTTTTTGACCTACGCCATATAAAGTTACTGGAACATCAAGTCAACTGCAGCCACCGGATCAAACACGTTGTATCGAAGTAGGATATAACTGCTCGAGATCATGAGCCTCCGGATTGTGGCGTCGTTACCAAAAATTCCAGAAATGTTACCATTGCAATGGCGCAGAAAAATACTCTTATTTAATCAATGATTGATTTTGCATCAATACACATTTATCGTTACGATTTATCTTTCGTAAACGACAGTTTATTTCATTATGGCACGACCAACGGATCAACAACCGATAACTCCTTTACCAAAGAAACAGCTGTTCATCCTGTGCTGTTGCCGTTTTACGGTAAGGATTTATTTGATCAGTGGATGTAGAGCAGTAATGATAGTGCTATATCAGATTGATTAATGACATAAGGACCCATAGTAGATATCAACTTTGTTAACTCGTCTCTAACGCTGTTCCAACTATCAATCACTCTTAACTACCATCAGGAACCAATTGCATTCACAAATATATTACCCTTCTTATACTTTGTAAGTATATATAACATAATAGTCATTACCCTCCGTCCATAATACCTTGTGTGCTGACTATACCATCTACTCGATATCGCTTCCTGCAGATGGTTGAGGATTTCAAGTTAACGGACGACCCAAAGAAGATTGGGTACTTTGTCGGATACATAGCTAGCTCATTTGCTCTATGTCAGTTTTTCACAGGTAAATAGGAGAATATTAAGGGCTACACTGCTCCTATTATCTTAGAATGCTAATTAAATTTCATTACGATAGGACTTCCGTGGGGCTTTCTAAGCGACAGAATCGGTATGATCGAATAATGTGTTGCCTATCGCTACATCGATATCTTATCAATGACCATATTAGTACTAATTGAGGTAACACCATCTACGCATCCTCATGCATACAGGCAGGAGACCTGTGATCCTTACTGGCCTCTTTGGCACAATGACGAGTTCACTGCTTTTCGGTCTCAGTACTTCGTTCACTTGGGCGATCTTGAGTCGTTCCTTATGCGGAATTCTTAATGGAAATGTAGGCGTTATCAAGAGTATGTTGGCCGAAATAACTGATGAAACGAATCAAGGTATGAAGGAAGTTCCGTATTTGGTTACGCCCAACCATATAGAGACATAAAGAGTAACACCAATTTAACTCTAACTCTATGTCACACCAAAACCCTTAGCCACGGCCTTTTCATTTTTGCCGTTTTTGTATGGCATCGGCATAATTATTGGTCCTATGTTGGGCGGATTTCTTGCAAAACCTGTGGAACAGTACCCTGGAATATTTGGAAATTGTCCCTTTCTAAAAAAATACCCCTACTTTCTACCATGTTTCGTGGCTTCGTTGATTTGTCTCTTTGGATTAATAATTGGATTTTTCTTCCTTGAAGAGGTAACGAATATCCTACATCTCGAATTTTGTTGGCCCCATCGAACTCAGATTCACGTAATTGTTTTTATCAGACGCTTGAATCAAAGAAGAAACAAAAATCAAAATCAACTCTATTCGAGCGCTCTGATGCAGTAGATAAGGAAGAACGCGCTCCTCTTCTTCCTAAAGATGACCCGCCTCCTGAAAATCCACCATTCCGCGACATTCTCTGTAGGCCAGTCTTGGTGACGGTCCTAAGCTACGTGCTCTTGGCTCTGCAAACGATAATGTACGATGGTATCTACCATCTCTGGTGTGCGACTCCCGTCAAGTTTGGTGGACTTGGATTTAGTACTAAAGAAATTGGAATATCTCTGAGTTGTGCTGGGGGATTTACTTTGTTCTGGCAGTTATTCGTGTATCCTAAAACACAGCGAAGATTCGGAACATTGAATGGCTATAAAGCTGCATTAAGTGGATATATACTAGTATATTTCTTCCAGCCATTTGTTAACGTTGTTGCAAAGAAAATTGAAGAGGGAGCGATAACAAGTGGATGGTTATGGCCGGTTCTATTGATATTCGTCTTTGGAAACAGGATTTGTTGTGTTACAGCGTTTACTAGTTCTATGATTTTGGTAAGTGTAGTAATATTGACTGGAACAAGCTATTGAATGAGCGACTATATAAACGGGCTGTGGTATGCGCCCCTGCCGAGTTACTAACATGTAAATACTGTTTTTATCTAACCACTCCTTGCGTTGTGTAGGTGACTAATGTAGCCCCATCCAAAGCTCAACTGGGAAGTGTCCACGGTTTGACTCAGACAATGGGTTCAGGCGTGCGTGCGCTTGGCCCCGCATCAGCCGGCACACTCTTTGCATTGTCTATCCAGTCTTCGTTTGGGTTTCCATTCGACAAGCATTTTGTATGGACAATATTAACTGTGGTTGCTCTAGTGTGTCGATTAGAGTCGAATCTGTTGAGAGACCCAAAGGCCAAAAATAGCGGACAAGTGGTTAAGGTCGATGAGGGACATAAGAAAGGTCTATAAAAAAAGTGAGCGTAACAGCCGAATACTGGTACGAAAAAAAAAAATACGCTGGGCATCTATAAAAGTCGGTAACATTAATGCAAAAAGACTTGTAAAAAAACTATTCTGCAAAAGATTATCTTGCAAAGACTTTAAAAAGTAGTTACAGAATAGACAATAGAATTAATGTTATGATATATTGACGGAATATAATTACAATAGAATGTATAACCTAAAAAAATTCACAATCCAGAATTACACACAAGATATGTTCAATGCCAAACTCTGACAAATGTTATTCTCTCAAAAATCTCTCGATGCTATAGTTTCCGGCAGCCGGTTGCGAACGGCCATCATTTCGATAATGACCTTCATCCTCGTATGCATCATTTGACTCCATTCGGTATATATCTTCGGTATTCTCTATACATCCATCGTTCTCATCTTCGTGATACTCGGCTACCTCTCTACTATCGATACAATCTAGTCCATTAATACTCCCCCTAACCATTCGATTCCTTCCCCTACTAACAATCTGCTCATAAGATTTGTTCCGATCCTGTCCGTTGCGACTGCGAGAGACGCTCGCACTTCGACTTCGGGCAGTATGTTGATTAGGTGCTCGACTCGCGCTTGGTGCACAAGATGTACTGCGATGAGTTGATCGATCATTGCGAAGGTATTGGCCATCTTGAGGACGAATACGAGGACTATCGTGTTGGAGAAAATCGACAGGAGATGACGGAATTACCCATTCGTTAGTCCCACTGCTGTCTGCACTAGCCAGCCTATCTTGCCTATACTCTTGTGAATCGTTAAATCTGTCAGAACCTTCTTTGCGAAGATCATCGATAACAGATTGAGCTTCCTGTAATGATAGTCCAGCCACTTTTTTCCACAACTCGTCATCAAAATCAACGAGTGAATATACAATCTGTGCGTCGACGGTTCTCTCTGCCCAGAATCTCATCAATTCGGTATCATCACATTCGGCCATTTGTGCTCTACAATGATCCATATATTTACCAAACCCTTTCTGGCCGATCAATTGCAATGATTGTTGCTGTTTTTTCACTGCCAATAGTTTACTAATCTGCTTTAATACCGATACGGCTTTCCGTTGAGAATAATTTCTGAGTACAATATCGACCATGTCCTGTTTGAATCCAGCTACCTTGTGTACAATTGATGCAAGTGTATCAATAATTCGGCTCGTCTTTATATTCCTAGTCAATTCGTCGATTGCTGCTTGTTTGAGATCGTAAAGACGATATTTATCGGCGACCACTATCAAGTCCAGAACTGTTCTACCTGATCCTTCGTTATAACTAAAACTAACTTGATTTGTATATAGAAATCTAAGCATCTCTAAAAAAGTTTCTGGCTGTATATCGTCAATAGTAATTACATGTGAAAACGTTCCGGTTGATGCAAGTGACTCGATATCAGCGTCGTGACTGGCAAAAGAAGATCTTCTATGGTTGTTGGGTAGTCTTCCTGTTGTTCGTGCTCCATTGTCCTCTCTTAATAAAGCGTCAAAGTATTCCGATCTCCTACGAAGGATAGAGGTTCTTGCGTAAATAGGTCGTCCTTTAACAACAAACTTGATGTCAGAAATGTCCATGTTATTGATATCATCTTCCCAGGCTTCGATCAGGTTCGTGGGCAGGATCGAGCGAGACACAGGCACAGTAATGCGATCGGTTGACATGGCAAGACCCTGAAGAGAAATTCCAATGGATATCTCTTTTGGGACCTGTGACTTGCGAACGAAACGGGAAAATCCCCAGACTGGTTTTTCTTTACAATAATTTTCCATATTCAACTCTACTGGATCAATTATGTTTCTCCAACTGTTAGAATGATGGGATATGAGATTAGAGAAATATGATAAACGCAAAGAGTTTTAATGGAATGATGTTCTGTAGGTATTATTTACGATGATCATATGAATCCTACCCAGGCTGTGCAGCAGCATCTTTCAGCCATAAAGATGCGATAAATTTGTGTCGTTTTGTCCACGCAAGTTCCGATTTCTCTTCTTCGTCATTTGGTATTGCGCATAGAAATAAAGAGCAATATGCAGGACTATCTTGTGAGTTCTACAGAATGGGGGATGGGAATGTTGTTGAGTCTCGACGTATATATTGAAAACGCGTCTAATATTTACAACGATTTGCACGTTTTACTCACCGGATCAAACTTCAATTGCCAAAGATGATTAATCGAGCTTGCGAATGGAGGTGTACATATGGGGCCACCCAAAATATCAGCATTATAGATTGTGAATTCGAGAGAACACTTTGCAGCATTTACAGTAGACATTCTACTAATGCATGAAATAGAAAGTCAATTGAAGTACTTTGGGTACAAGGCGAATATCTCCCAGTGATCTTTATTGAATGATTGCTCTTTAATGAATTAAGTCTAGTTTTCGAAGTACAGATTATTATGGCTTCTTCTTCCAACACTTGATCACTGAGAAACAACAACTCATATAAACATCAAGGTTGCTGAATAAATCATGTGAAATAACAAAACGAAATTGGTCTCGCGTGACCAATGGAATGACAAGATCCTGCAACGAGAGATTAAAACCAGTAATTTTTCATCATTGTCTGTTTCCTAATTGGTACGTTGGGCGGGGAATGTATTGTGCTGTGTGACAAATAAATTAAAGCTTATGCGCGATTAACGAGTGGTTGTACCAAATGAAGAAGTCTGAAGGTGTTTGGTGGCATGGGAAATTAGGCAAAAGCAAAAGCGGGTTGGTGAGAAAAGAGGGGAGGCTACCTTTGGTGGAACTGTGGGGGGTGAGAGGGTGAGGGGAAAGGTGGAGGGAGGTGTTGGGTCTGGCCTGGGTGGAAAAGAATTTAGCCATAACATTTGGGACGCATTCGTATGGATAAATATGTATAAATGCATTAATAAAACAAGTAAATATAAATAGATAATTATATATATTTGGATAGTTCAGATTCTAATGTACAGCGAAAGATAAATAGATAAATAATATTACAAATAAGCCCCGTTACAAGAAACCTTATAAGAACTAATGAGTTCGGTAGTTGACGACTTTTTATTGCGGGTTTTACATGTATTTAGTTGCCATTGTGTGCAAGTACACTAAATACACCAATTAGAACACATAAACAGATATGCGGGTTTTGAGTTATCGAAAAACTAATCAAGAGCGAATAACACTGGGGTGTCGTACAGCACAGTTCTATGCCCTCGACTATTTTACGAAATAGGTTTTAGCCTTTTGTACTAGGTAGGAGGCTTCTGGGATGAGTGTAGGACAAATGCAGGTTAACAGATCTATTCTTTTTATAATGACTATTCATATCACCATACTTAGCCCATAGGTAGTCATGCTGTCCTTTATCTCTGATCCGGAAATTAATTGATGATCATGATTGGCAGCATAAATGAGTATATTACGTGTACAGTGACGATTCATGTATTTGACTTGTGAATATATCCATCTATATATTTCATATTACGTGCATATGATACGGTATTTGTTATTAATAACCTTGCGGATTTCCTCGCAATCCTGTTGAGGAACGAAGACATTCTAGGCGCACCTTAATTATGCAGGCTATCGTCACATGAACACAAAATCCGGCATGATTACTCATGCTCCGATAAGATTCAAATATTCTCACACAATCATCGACAATGTAGTATGCATACAACGGACGGATGCCTCCGAGCATTGAATTAAGTGTAAAAGTTTATATTTGTTGTCATTTAATCGGTCCGAACAATAGGTGCGTAGTAACAATGTCTATAAATTTTCGCGTATGATTGAGATAAGTTGTAGTAACATCAATTATTAATGCAACTCTGCCCTATCACACAATCAGACTACACTTCTGGTCGGCGTTTCAATTGTTGCAGGCTTCCATTTACTTCAAGCCATCGAAGCGCCCAGCATTCCTTTGTTCCGATTGCGATCAACCTACATAGATTGCTGTTTAGAACGGATGATCTTCTTCTCACGGTATAGTCAATGCGCAAAGTTCATATTTATACACGTGACAACGTTGTTTTTTTTCCATTGTGGATCAAGACTAAGATTAGCGAACAATTTTACTGATATTGGCAAAGAGCGACAAGGAGAATACATTGGAAATGGACGAGATAGACAAAGAACAAGAGAATGAGAATAAGAACGAAAATGAAAATGAGTATCCCGTACCAAACAAAGATATTAAATACATTGTTGATCAACAGCTTATTTACCAATATAGTTAATAAATAGTTAATAATAATGATATCAAATAATAAGTATATATACTATCTATACGTACGCTTATCATAATCTATTATTTGTATTTTCTGTTTACTTTTGTGCTTGCTAATCTGCAGATAGATTCTCAAAAACTAATGTATATAAACACACCCACCCGCCCACCGACATTGCTTCCCATCATTTTTTTTTTCTGTGAAAAATGATCAATACTCACACCCCTTCCAACCAACTCTACTTATGACACCTCGATGTCCCATACTACATGTATGGACATTATAAGAACTACTCGCATCGATTTACGCGGATAACAATCAACAAGAAAAACATCTCCAACGTTTATAACATATGATGACAATACACGACGACTATTCAACATCGAATCGACTCTATTGCTATCGGCAAAATGAAAGTGCGTATCAAACGAGTGTCATCAACATCGTAACATGTTTTATCGGTCATATATCAACATCATAATCAATCACGGTCTTTCGACTTGTTTCAACTATGGATCCTAACAAGTAACGCATATATCGTTACCCATCACATCAAAAATATAAACGATTTAAATTTTCCTCTTCGCTCAATTTTGTTTGAGCTATATGCTTACGATTTTTTCATGCGTCGAGTGAATCCATAAGCAGGGAAGAATTCACTCGTCGTCTGTATATTTTCTTTTTACTCCTTTTTTTAATCTTTTCCTATGTTCGTTATACTCCCCCTCCGGAATTGTGCCTGTTCCTTCTAACTTGTAAATATAGTT